AAGACCACACACACACACACACACACACACACACACACACACACACACAACTCTCCAGCCTAGAACAAGCCACCAAGTGTCCCGTTTTGAAGTTCCTGATAGGGCACTGCCTGAAACAGCGCCTCTCCTATAGTCTCCCATTTCTGAGGCTTCTCAAAGCAAAACCATGCTATAACAAGGTGCCTACTTCTATTAAAGTTCAAACACACATGTTTAGCAAGTTGAAGTCTAAATCAAAGACACACACTGCAGAACTAGAACCTTCTTTGGATATAACACCAGATACTTTTTTGAGTCCTTCGGTGACCTGAAGGCCTGGCCAGGTGGCCTCCCTGATATTTCTGTGAGCCCTGGCAGAGCACCCCACAATGTCACCCTTTCATCACCGAGGCTTTCAAGGAGACCATCAACCAGAGAATCTCTACCAGAAACATGACCCCTCTGTGATCTCTCTGTGCAGTGAACCCAAGACCCAGCTCTTGCTCACCCCTCTCACCTCACCTAGACTCAGCCCCCTGTATGGAAAAAAAGAGGCAAATGGAGCCTATCATGATCACTGTTAGAGACACGGAAAAAGAAATACTTCCTTCCTCGATCAGCTTAAAGCTAAATCATATATAAACCTGAACTGCACAAACCTCTCTCCAATCTTGGGTCGGATACTGTATAAAGTGCGGGGGTTGGCACCTGTACAAAGTGAGGGCAGGACCACTCCAACATATAAATAAAGAGAAGTTTTTTTTTATTGTGGATATGAGGGAGAGTACAGTCAGAGGCATCTGGAAGGATCTAGAGCAGAGAGAAAATGTAGTAGACGGAACATGGCTGGCAGAATGAACTGGGCCATGAGGGGGTTGGGAAGAAGAAGGGAACCAAGAGGGAAAGAACAAGGAGAGAGCCAAGAGAGTCAAGGCTGAAACAGCAGGTTTATTTAGGAATGAGAAGCTGGCAGAAGAGAAACCCGGGAGCTGGGGAAGCTTAGTTTGCGGTGGGGGATGAGAAGAGCTAAAAAGAACAGAGGTACCGAGTGAACCTGAAGCCAGCAGACATTTTGGTATGCTAATAGTCACCACAGTTAGCCATTTGTCCCAAGTTTCTTTTGGACCTGACAGATAGGACATGCCTTATAGTCTTGCTCTTAAGTGCAATAGGTATAACAATTGCTCTGGTTCTCAAGGGCAGTGTCCTTGCTCAGAGGAGGAGCATGCCAAAAGGCATAGAGTGCTATCAGGCCATAAGGGAAACTAACCTCCATCTATCTCGGAAACTGAAGTCTTCTTGGAACATAGCCTTGTGCATGTGGTGTACAGTGACTATTATACTACAATTGCCGGGAGGTGGTGGCACACGCCTTTAATCCCAGCACTTGGGAGGCAGAGGCAGGCAGATATCTGTGAGTTCAAGGCCAGCCTGGTCTACAAGTGCTAGTTCCAGGACAGGCTCCAAAGCTACAGGGAAACCCTGTCTCAAAAAAAAACAAACAAAATAAATAAATAAATAAATAAATAAATAAACTACAATTCAAACTGCGCAGTGTGGCATAAATGGTATAGGTTCCTATAGCCTAAAAATACTACATGGGAATGTTCAGCAAGTACTTAGCTGACAGGGACTAGAGTGTCATAATCTATGCAACCTCTTAAGTTGTTCAACAAAACAATGGTAAAAAGATGCACATGTGTACATATAAAGACATGTATCTGTATCTGCGTATATATATATATGCACATACACATGTATGTCTGTTTATACATGTGTGTTTATATATGTGTATACTAAGTATATAGAGATGCACAGATAGATGTGTAGAGACATGTATATGTGTGCATATATCCATATGTATGCATATATTTGTGAAAGAAGCAGAGAAAATTTGGCAAATATTCATTAATGAGTTTAAGTGAAAATGTACAAATGTTCATGTTTTTCTCCAACTGTTTTGCCTATTGATAAAATCGACAGTGAATATTACTTCATTTAAAAATTTAAAATACCATTCTCAAAAATTAAAACCTAACAGTAACTACAATAGATTTAAAAATACTGTTTGAGCCGATGTTTGTAATTCCAATACTTGGGAGATGGAAGTGGTAAGATTAGTCTGTGTTTAAGGTCACCCTGAACTACACAGTAAGAATCCGTATCAGAAGAAAAAGTGTGTGTGTGTGTGTGTGTGTGTGTGTGTGTGTGTGTGTACGTACACACTGGAGTAACCTCACTCAAAACAGCAAAAATTACTCAGCCTGTGGTTTAACTAAAAAGAAAGTGTGAGATATTTGAATCTTTTACCAGGGTTCAGAAAAGCTTATGGGTTTATGGAAGTCACTGAGACTGTTTGGAACTAGGAAACCTTGCTTTTACAAGTGTGTAATAAAAAGTTAACAAAGACATGAAGATGAATGTGGCTTTGAATAACAAAAGAAACAATACATTCCCAAAGAACACACCGAGATTGAATAGCTTTGTTTTGGTTTGGTTTGGTTTTGGTTTTTCAAGATAGGGTTTCGCTGTAGTTTTAGAGCTGAGACAGGGTTTCACTGTAGTTTTAGAGCCTGTCCTGGAACTAACTCTTATATACCAGGCTGGTCTCAAACTCACAGAGATCCACCTGTCTCTGCCTCCTGAGTGCTGGGATTAAAGGCGTGCACCACCACCGCCTGGCTGATTGAATAGTTTTTTAAATGTCTATTTTCACAAACACAGTTACAGAATGTTGCAATCCCAGTAAAAAATCAACATGAATTATTGTTTGAGGGGAAGAACAGTAAGAAAATCATTTAAAAGTTTTGCTGGTAGAAAAAAAATAGGTGAGATTATTAGTCACAAACATTTTGAAAATGAAGCAAAATGATGGGGTTCTTACTTCAACAGTGCTAAAAATACCTAGAAGATGCTAAAACTTATTTTAAAGCTATAATAATTAAACAATTAGTCTGGTTTGGGAATAATAAATCATAGAGGAAAACTGAGGAAATCTAGGCTAAGAAAAGAGTAAACTTTAGTCAAGATAACAGACAAAGGGAAAGGGGGAGGCTCAACCACTCCTGTAATGCCTGAGTAGCTGGGGGAAAAACTGTCAAGAGCATGGAGGAAAATTAAGCACTGAGAAGTCAGTGCATCAAAGGTATAAAAACAAGTGTAGGTGAGCGTTCTGGGCCTAAAACAAATGACAAAGAGAAAGATGGATGCACTTGGCTCAGGAGTGGTTTGAGCTTCTCTACATCTGAAAACACAATGAGCATAAGGAAGAGAAGCAACGGCTGCTGAGGAGCATGTATCAACGTCACTCTGCAGTGGCTAGGGAGGAAGGAAGAGGCTTTAAAATGGGCAGATGCTGTCAAACAAAACTCAAAGGCTAACTAACTCCTTCCAAAGCTGCGCCTAGGGAGATGGGACCTAACTCCAGGTTAGCTTCCGGCTCGTAAGACCATGTCCCTGGGATGAATCCAGACCCATAAAATTGACTCCCTCAGAAAGCTCAGTAATGCCAGAAAAATGTGCAATGTGGTCTAGCCTGCACCCAACGAGGTTTTCTGTTCTTACGGCGCTCCCTACAAGGAACTTAAAGTTGGGCAGACATCTCTTTCAACTCCGAAGCATGTGTCTGGATGCCCGGAGAGAGCTGTTCCTTGGCACTGTAATCAAGGAAGGGCTCCTTCGCCCAGTTTCTGATGCAGGACAGATGCCCACTTCACCAACTAATAAGAGGCTGACCTGCTTCTAGCTTCTTCACCCCTCTACCTCTGCTGAGAACACTCTCCCTTGCCCTGTTGCTGAGTGCTCATTTCCACAAATCACCTCAGCCACTGCTGAGGAATCGCAGCTCTCTCCCCCACTGTCAAGAGTCACCAAAAAAAAAAAAAAAAACCAACAACAACAACAAAAAAAACTTTTTGATTTTGTGCCTTGTTTTTGGCAAATGTTGAATATGAAACCCATATTTCTATGCATGCTAAACTCCCAGCCCCAAACTCTGTTTTCTTGCCTTGACTAAAGTTCAGCTGTGTTTGATTTCAACAATGCAACTTACAAAACAGTACAGTGTAGGTATTGATTATGATTTTTTTTGGTTTGTGTTCTGCTTATTTGTGTGTGTGTGTGTGTGTGTGTGTGTGTGTGTGTTTTCCACTAAATAAATGTGTTTCACCTATAATGGAAAAAATTGCTTTCAGGTGATTTAAACTTCCTACCTGTTGTTGCTGTGATAAAACACTGTGACAACAGCAACACAGGGGGAAAGGGATGATTTCAGCTCACAATTACAGGTTACAGTTCATCACAGAGAGCAGTCATGGTAGTGGGAACTCAAGCAGCTTGTCATGAGCAGAGAAAGTAGATGCCTTTTTCTGCTTAGACTCAGCTCGCCTTCTCTTTTCTAGTCCAGGGTTCAATCCCAGGGCATAGTGTTCCCTTTCGTAGGCTAAGTCTTCAATATCAATTAATGTACTCAAGATACTCTCCCATAGACAGGCCCATGAGAGCCAACTCATTTAGGCAGTTCCTCACGAAGGACTCATTTCTGAGGTGAGCCTGCATTGTGTCAAGCTGACAATTAAAGCCAATCATCATACTACCAGAGAGCAGGGAAACCCATTTACCAATTCCAAAATGCTCTAGACCTAGTTAATAACACCAAGTGACCAGACAGTTCAACCATCACACTACCAGCTGATCTGGTCCAAAGCCCAGTTCCTGGGGCCTCATTTTACAAGACACTCTATTTGGGATGAAGAAGGCCAAAAGTCTTTTCCTGAATCTGTACACAAACACTATTATGTGTGGCCTTGACAATTCCTTTGTCTGGTCCTCATTTCCCTCATCTATACAACAAGAAATGAGCCAAGGTGTGTCAACTTCCTTCCTTCTCAAGCATGCCAGATTTCTGTCTTATAAGACACCTAAGATCGATGGCCAGGAAGAGATTCAAACCAAACAGTGGCCACACCAAACTTGGAGGCTGGACCAGGTGCCCCTCACAGGTGCCCCATGCATTGTCCCACCTTGAATTCCTCATGTATACGTTCCTCCAGGACTTTGGCAGCCTTGCGATCCTCCATCTCCACTTTCCACCTCTCTGCCAGGATCCGGGCTTTCTCATTGGCCAAGGCATCCCGGAACTTCTTGGTGATCTCTGCTTCCTTCTGTTTCCTTCCAAGAGATCAGCAGCATGGGTGAGCTTGGGTGAAAAACTAGAAGATCACATCACAGTGCAACTTCAAGTCAAAGCAATGAGCAACCGTGCCTTAGTACACAGAACAGCAAACACAAAGATTAACATAATTCATGACAGCAAAGGAAGGGAGAGATAGGGAAGGGAAGGGAAACCAGAAGGCCCATTCTGGAAGGTAAGAAACAAGACATGAAAATCCCATTCATCATTCAAGTAGCCAAAGCTGTATATAGTAGTCAGCAGAGAAGTTTCAGGAAAAGAAATGAAAATCAATTCAGATGTCTACCAAAAACATAAATAAGTTACATTCCTTATTCCTTATTATTCCTTATAATAGACTACTACATGAGAATCTTCACTAGCTTCAGGATTTGAACTGATGGGATCTATCAAGGTACAAATAAATATTTTTTATCTCTTAAATATTCTTCATGGTTAGCTTGGGTGGTGGGTGTTTTTTATTTCAGTATAGTCTTAGTCTTGTTTACATTGTTACAACTTCATAACTAAAACACCATCATTCCGACTTGATGGTGGAAGATGCTAAAAACACCATCATATGAATTTCTAAGTTTGGCAAGGTGGAAAAATGTTAAAAGTTGTTGATGAAGAGAGTCTAACTCCAAACTTTCCTGAGGGCTCAGCCGTCCTATGGTGAACACATAAATAATATTCAGAGGAACAACAGGGAGCCACAATGAAGCACTATTGCTAAACCATCCCTGTGAGAAGTTCCCACAGTGCCTGGGGCTGTAGAAATGGTTCAGTTGGTAAAATTCTTACCATGTGAGCACAAGAAATGAATTCAGATCCCTAGAGCTCTCATATAAATCTGGATGCAATATAATCCCAGCACTGGGGAGACAGAAACAGAAGGATAACCCTAAAATTCCCTGGCCACCTAGTCTGGCTGCATTGGTGAGCTAACCGGTTCCCTGAGAGACCCTGCCTCAAAAACAAGCAAGGAGAGTGACAGAAGGAGACATCTGACATTTACACATCTCTGGCTTTTACACATACCAGCACACACAAACATAGGCACATGAGCACATAAGCAAGTGCCACACACATACAACATGCAGTCCACACTGTCCAGGTAAATCCAAACTTGAGGCTATAGGAAGAGGTGTTTGGTCTTTAGGTCATATCACCAACAAAAGAAAACTGAGGTTCCAGATTAGCTAACTGGTGGGTCTAACACTTGAACTCACAAGGTTTACTGATGGGAGTCTCTGGTGTGTTGGTTAGTTGATCTTGTCAGCTCAGCACAGCCAGCCGCTGACCAGCACCTCATCTTTCCACCCACAGCTTAGATATACCCAGGGCTCTAGGCTCAGGCCCTACCCAGTACCCTCCCAGCCAGCACCTCTCACCAGAGCTCCTCAGCCTCTCTCTGTGCTTGCAGGCGTGCTCTCTCTGCAATCAGCTCCTCGGAGATCTCCTCATAGGGCTTGTCGCCAGGGCCTTCACCCATGACCCACACCCAGACCTCGCCATCTGCTCCCAACAGCCACTGGATGTGCTTGTTGCTTGCTGCCTCACAGTGGAAGGAAGAAGAGAGAGAAAAGAAGAAACACATAGTTTCCAGTTAAGGAACGAGCTGAGCCAGAGCATAGCACACATTATTATAGCCATCATACAACTCGACAGACCAGCAGTGGCTTCAGTACAGATTCTGGTGCAGATTCAAGGCATTCCCTTACACCATCCCCTCTAAGGAGGAACGTAACAGCCAAGCCAGCACCAGAGGCGAGCGTCAGAGATGAGCTCTAATGAGGTCTACATCAGCAAAAATACGGAGGGCTAGTGTGATGCTAGGTAAGAAACAACTTGCGCTGCTCCCGGGCTGCGGCAACCAGGTGTCAGCGAGTCTCCTCTGCCCTCTTGTTTGCCTAGCCACTGACTAGAAAGAAGGAATCAGAAATGACAGCATTGCAAGAGGAAGCAGCCTGGAGCCTCGTGTCTCTGTGATACACATCACGCTGTAATTTGAGCAAGAAATGAACCTTTGCTGGCTGCGGCCACCGAGAGCCCTTAGTCTGCCAATAACAACAGGTTCCACTGCTGTCTTGACTAGATCAGTGAGGTTCCTCAGTGACAGGGTGGCCACAGCAACAGAAAGCCTGCGTCTGGCTTTAACATCTGGGTGGTGAGTGATATCTAGCAGGTCAAACAGCTGGAGATGCAGGCATGCAGGAACAAAACAGCGGGTAAATGTGCCACAGACTCATTAGGGCTTAAAAGGCAGACCCTGTTTTCTGAGTTGGGGGAAAAAATGAAGCAGTGTGTATTAGAAGCATTCGACATGGTGTTAAGAGGGGGGGAAAAACCCTAGAATTCAAGCAGGAATCAAGTGTTTTGCAGGGAGAAGTGAAAGAGAAGGGAGAGAATAGAGAAATTTGGGGAAAATACTAGGTTTCAAATTGTAAGAGATGTACTACTGGCCATGGTGGTGAATGTCTGTGATCTTGGTGCTCTGCAGATTGAGGCAGGAGGATCATGAATTCTAGGGCAATGTGGTAAGATGATCTCTCTCTCTCTCTCTCTCTCTCTCACACACACACACACACACACACACAGAGAGAGAGAGAGAGAGAGAGAGAGAGAGAGAGAGATGCAAAAGATTAAATTCTGAAGAGTTTTGCCTGACAGAACTCAGTTAGCTGTCTCTGTGAATGAGATGCCCTGGGACACAAAGCACAGAGGCTGTGCTCATGGGCTCTCTAACTCCACTACAGCAGATGCCACTAAATGAAACTGCCAGCCTCCAGGACCTGGTGTTTGCTCACAGTTATTTCCCAGAGGCTGCCCCACTCTTTGACTGACATTCCAGGCTCATGACTGAGGCATCTGACTCCTGGCCAAAACTTCCTTGCATTACAGTAAGGCCCCCAGCCTCCCTCTCTCCTTTACTCAAGGTCAAGTGAGAAAATTTTAAATATTTATTTATTTTAAATAGTGACAAACTCATTACATAATTGTACAAAATTGTTTCATAAAAAAACCAATATTTGTAAGACAGCAGAATTATCATTAGGGCTACAATCAACGAGCCACTGCCCTCCAGGCTCCATTGTCTGCCTTTCTTCTGGATGCATAGTTGATAGAACAATGATCAGAGTGAAAAGGCAACCTATGGGGAGAGAAAAAATTCTTGCAAACATACACCTCATTAAGGGCTAGCATCCAAATACACACGGAACTCAAGCAACACAGTATCAATAAAACAAATGATTCTGTTTTAAAATGGGCACAGGGCTTGAATAGACACCTCTCAGAAGAAAACATACAAATGGCCGGCTGTGAGAGAAAACATTCAGCCTCATTAATCATCAGAGAAGCTCAAGTCAAAGCACTGTGGGATACCACTCCACACTTGTTGGAAGGGTAAGCAGCAAATATATAAAGCTGAAATTCTTGGCAGAAGGAGCTAGAGCAGTGCTCTCAATCTGTGGGCCGAGATCCCTTTGGGAAGGCCAAACAATCCTTTCTCAGGGGTTGCATATCAGATATCCTACATGTCATATATTTACATTATGATTCATAACAGTAGCAAATTTACAGTTATGAAGTAGCAACAAATATACTTTTATGGTTGGGGGTCACTACAACATGAGGAACTGTGTTAAAGGGTCGGAGCATTAGGAAGATTGAGAACCACTGGGCTGGAGAGATGCTCAGCCATTACTTGTTGCTCCTGTAGAGGACCTCGGTTCCATTCCCAGCACCCAGATGGCAGCTCATGACTACCTGGAACTCTAGTTCCAGGAGACCCAACACCCTATTCTGCCCTAGTGGACACAGAATGCATGTGGGCACAGATACACATGCAGGCAAAACACCCATACACATAAAACATTTTATTTATTTGGTTTTTTGTTTTGTTTTGTTTACTATTTTTCAAGACAGGGTTTTCCTGTGTAGTTCTGACTGTTCTCAAATTTGCTCTGTAGACCAGGCTGACCTTGAACACACTGAGATCTGCCTGCCTCTGTTTCCCAAGTGCTGAGATTAAAGGCATGTGCCACCAGCGCCCAAAACTTTTTTTGTTTTAAATAAAAGCTTGGGAGAGCATAGAGAGAAAGGAACATTTGTATCCTGGTGTAAGAATGTGAACTAACGCAGTCATTATAAAAAAAAAATAGTACAGAAATTTCTCTGAAAACCAGGACTAAAGGGTCAACATGTACACACACACACACACACACACACACACACACACACACACACATATATGTATCCAAAAGAAATTAAGTTGTTATGACAGAGACACCTGCGCACACACATATTTATTATGGCACTGTGCACAACTGACACGGGGTCAGCCTGTGTCCACCAAGAGTCATGAACACATAAAAACAATTTTAAAAATTAAGGAATGAGCTGGGCCGTGGTGGCACATGCCTTTAATCCCAGCACTCGGGAGGCAGAGGCAAGAAGATCTCTGTGAGTTCGAGGCTAACCTGGTCTACAAGAGCTAGTTCCAGGACAGGTTCCAAAGCTACAGAGAAATCCTGGTCACAAAAAACCAATAAATAAATAAATAAATAAATAAATAAATAAATATAAAAAAATTTAAAAAAGGAATGAATAATGAAAATTTAATACTATATTACAGTAGAATATACTATTTGAGCCTGGAAAAGTAGGAATTCATATTATTTTCAATCATATAGGTGAACCTAGGAGGAGGGGACACTGTGTGAAGTAAAAAAAGCAAGGCACAAAAATGTTAAAGTCATATGAACTGACACATATGTGAATGTAAAGTGGTTATCTGGTGTGGGAGGTCCTTCTTTCTATGTGCTGCTTTTATTGGTAAATTAATAAAGAAACTGCCTTGGTTTGTTGATAGGGCAGAACTTAGGTACACAGGGAATGTTAGGCTGAATGCTGGGAAGAAGAAGGGCGGAGTCAGACAGACACCATGTAGTCGCCAGTCAGAGACAGACTCTGGAACTTTAGCCAGTAAGCCACAGCCATGTGGCATTATACAGATTCATAGAAATGAATTAAATTAATTTAAGAGTTAGTCAATAAGAAGCTAGAGCTAACGGGCCAAGCAGTGATTTAATTAATACAGTTTCTGTGTGATTATTTTGAGTCTAAGCTAGTCAGGTACTGGGAACCAACAAGCAACCCTTTTTGCTACAGTTATCAGAGAATGAGGAACGGGATTAGAGAGATGGTGGGATAAACACATGTATCTCTAGCTGCATATATGGGCAGCACTAACTGGACTCAATGGGTTATTTAAACAAACAAACAAACAAAAGTTTGGGCAATAGGAGGAATTGGAGGAGAAAAAAAGGGACAGAAGATAATATTTCATTGCATAAATGAAATCTCAAAAATAAAAATATATAAAGTACATTTATCACATTAGAATACAAATTTTATCTTATCCTTAGAAGTGATAAAAAACATTATGTATACCCAAGACTTGTTTTAAAATATATTTCTTTATGATTTACTATTTAAAAATCGGGTATTGTTTTACACTTTTGCAAATCTATTGATTATCAAGCCTAATTAAAAGGAAAAAGGGTTCTTGTGTCTTCCAACTTTACCCTTTATAGTAGATAATTTTGGTTGATGTACATTAAAAAATTATCAACATGTTTTGGAAGAAAGAGAAGACATTTCAGCTTTTCCCCAGGTAGTCTTAGATACTGACGTAAGATTCAATAAGTAACGGATACTCTTTTTGTTTACTTACTTATTTAGAGATAGGATCTTGCTATGTAGCTTAGGCCCCAAGTGGTCTTGAATGTATGATAGTTCTCCCACTTTGGTCTCCCCAGTGCTTGACTGTAGGCACGCGCCACCATGTCCAGCTAGTTATAGGTTGCTAAAGGTTAGTTACAACATAGAAATCTAAACCATACCAATAAGGCCATTGAGCTTTTGACATTAAAAGTCATTGATTGTGATGACATAAGGGTGCTACACATTAGGGGAAGTTTGATGGGAATGCTGTAGGAATTCTCCAAACTCTTGAAATTCTTCTGAAATAAATCTGAATTACTTCAAAATAAAAGGTCTAACGATGTTTTTGTAAGACTCTATTTTTGATTTGTTTTGGTGTGTATGTGTGTGTATGCACACATGCATGAGTGTGTGCATTGTGTGTGAGTGTGTGTATTGTGTGTGTGTGTAATGAACAAGGGCACTGATCTCCTGCAGCTGTGGTTACAGGGGGTTAAGACTGGCCTGATGTGGGTGCTAGGAACCGAACCTTGGTCCTTAAGAAGAGCAGAACTGAGCCATCTCTCTAGCCCCAGTCTTTTGTACTGGAACTTACTGTATAGATGAGGCTATCCTCGAACTCACAGAGGTCTGCCTACATTTGCTGGCATAGAAAGCATGATTTTGTACGTGTCCATGATCCCAGCTACTGAGCAAGCAGTAATGGAAGAATCAGCACTTGAGGCCAGTGTGGCTACAGAACAAGACCTTGTCTCAACACACACACACACACACGCACACACACACACACACACACACACACACTTTAATTTAAGAATAGAACT